ATATTGAAGACTCATTTCTTTTTACCATTGTTTTTTATTTATTATTTTTTTATGCTTTGAAGAATTATTTTTCTTTAATTTTTAAAAAAATAATAACCACATGATTAGAAGAAGTATTTCATTACAGCTTTAACATGCTCAGTAACAGTTTCCAGAGCAAAGACACAGCTCCTTCAAAAGTGGCTATAAAATTTCTAGGTTCGCTGTTGAATCAATACATTTATACAATATTGAACTCAGTATAAACCCTGTAAGATATAAAATTGAATGAGTTTTTACCCTTTAAAGAAGATCTCCATTTCAAGATATGCTGTTTCCTACATTTTAAAAATATTATCTTTCTTTTTTTTTAGAAGAAGCATATCATTTACAGCTTTAACATGCTCAGTAACAGTTTCCAGAGCAAAGACACAGCTCCTTCAAAAGTGGCTATAAAATTTCTAGGTTCGCTGTTGAATCAATACATTTATACAATATTGAACTCAGTATAAGCTCTGTAAATTGAATGAGTTTTTAACCCTCAAAAGAGATCTCCATTTCATTATAAAATATACTGTTTCTTACAGAAAGACTCAATGATTTTGCTACTAACACTGAGATGTTGGCACATGCATCTTTAATCTGTATGTATCTGATTATTACTAGTCATAATCGTTTATACTCAGATCCTTGGCACCTGTGTATGTCTATTATTTATTATTTTTATTTTATGTGTATGAGTGTTATGCCTGCATGTAGGTAAGTACACCTGTGTCATGCAATGCCCACGGAGGACAGAAGAGGCTGTTGGGTACCCTGGAACTGGATTATGGACAGTTGTTAGCTGCCTCGTGGGTGCTAGGATTTGAACCTGGGTCTTCTGTAAGAACAGTCAGTGTTCTTAACTGCTGAGTCATTTTTCCAGCCCCGACACAGTGGAATTTTTATAGAGAGCACCCAATTGCACATTTTGCATTATTAACTTCTTAAATTGGAGCATTTGGATGTATGATATGGTTTGAATCTGGAATATCACTCACAGGCTCATGTTTTGAGCATTTGGCCTCAGGACAAGGGACACCAGGGACCCAGTTACTTTGTTTTGACTTCTTGGCTATGATAAACTGTAACTTTCTGAAACCATGAACTAAAATCTTTCCATTAAGTTGCTTCTGTCAGGTATTTTTTCACGGTGATGAGAAAATAACTACTGAAACACATGTTTAATATAATAATGCAGTAGGTAAATTCATCATCTTGCTAATATGTCTATTTGTTCTGTGTGTGTGGTTCCTGGAAAATATTTCGAGTATTCAGTATGGGCTGGCCAGTTATAACCCTATCTTTTTACTTTCAGTAGTTTTCTCTGAGGTTAACAATACTCATCTTTAACTTGACACAGTCTATCTTCCAATAATATTACAAAAATTTATAATGTGAAATACTAATAAACAGCATGGTTCCATTCTCCAACTCTGCTGTCCTTTACCATATTTTGTTGTCATATATTTGCCTCAATATACATAATAACATAACAATACATTGTTATTATTAGTGCTTGAAGACTTGGTTATTTTTTTATAGAAATTAACAATGAGAAACTAAGTTTCTTATATTTAGCTACATATTTACTGTTTCTGGCTGTCTTCACTCCTTTATCATGTAGTTTCCTTACATTATTATTTCCACCTGAAGGATTTCCTTTGATATTTCTTGTAGCTCAGATCTGCTGATAATTATTTCTCTATTATTTTTATTTTATGTGTATGAGTGTATTGCCTGCATGTGTGTAAGAACACCCCTGTTGTGCAGTGCCTGTGGAAGTCTGAAGAGGGCATCAGAGCCCCTAGAACTGGAGCTGTGGACAGTTGCTAACCCCCTATATGGGAGCTGGGAATCCAACCCGTGTCCTCTGCAAGAGCAGCCAGTGCTCTTAACCACTGAGTCAACTCTCTAGACCTTCCTCTCTCATTTTTTTTCTTTTGTCTTTTATGTGTATGAATGCACTGCCTGCATCTATGTATGTGCACCTGTGTTGTGCAGTGCCCACAGAGAACTCCCCTGGAAATGGAGTTACAGCTGGCTGTTAGCTACTATGTGGGTGCTGGAATTTGAACCCAGGGGTCCTCTGAAAGAGCAGCCAGTGCTCTTAACCACTGAGCCACCTCTCCAGCCTGCTATTCTTTTTTTTTTTAATCTGAAAAAAATATTTAAAAGTTTGCTTTCATCTTTGGAGCACAATATTAATGGAGATAGATTACTTAGGTTGAAAACTTATCTTTCATAACTTTCAAAATATTCCATTGTGTTCTGGCTTACATAATTTCTGACCAAAAGTCTGCTGTAATCATTCCTTTCTCTTACTTAAAAAAAAAAAGTCTTTTTATTTTATGTGTATGAGTACATTGCCTGCATTTATGCAAGTGCACCTATGTTGTGCTATACCTGCAGAGTCAGAAGAGGGTGTTGGATCTCCTGGAGCTGGAGTGACGATGGTTAGCTGCCATGTGGGTGCTGGAACCAAAGCCCAGTCCTCTGCAAGAACAGCCAGTGTTCTTAACCACTGATCCATCTCTCCAGCCCCTCTCTTACTTTTTCCCTTTGTTACTGGTTTTAAGCAATTATCACAACATTGGTTTTGTTCAGTACAGCGTGCTTGCATTTGGTTCACTGAGCGTCTCAGAGGTCTTATTTTATCACTTTCATTAAAAAGTTTTAAAAACTGACTACAATCTCTTTAAATTTCTGTTTTCCCCCGTTGTTTTCATCTTCTGGGACTCTAACTGCATGTATGTCAGTGGGCATGGGTTAATTTGATTCTATCCCCCTGCCCCGGCTTCGTACTGGTTTTTGCGACTATGCTCTCAAGCTCAAATACCTTTTATTTTGCAGCAATTCATCTCTAATCTAGATTTTTTTCTCATTCCAAGCACTGTGCTTTCTCCTTCTAGATGTTTCCTTGCATATCTTCCATGTCTCCCAGCAGGGCCTCTTCAAACCATGGGCCTATCTATAATCATCTTAAATATCTGATGTTTCTATTCTCACCTTTGTTTATACTGACTAATTTTCCTCTTGTTATAGAGTACGTTCCCAATTCTCAATGTGTCTTGTACTTTTAAAACAGCACACTTGCTAGTGAATACCTGCAATCCCAGCAATCAGGAAGCTGAAGCAAAAGGGTCATGAATTCAAGAACTGCCTAACCTATGAAGCAAGATCCTGTCTTAATAACAAAAAATAAATAAATAATGCTGATATTGATGGCACCTTGTTGAGTGCTGGGTTTTTGCTTTCCCCTTTTAAATAGGGTTAAAGTTTATTTTGACAGGAGATTAAATTTTCCCCCCTATATTTTTGGAAGCTAAATTTCTGGGACATCAAATCAATCCTTTCAAGACTTTAGAAATAGGCTTGTTTAAAAACTTAATAAAGTTTATACACATAAGCATGCACTCACTTATTTAAAAAATTATGCCCAGTGTGATGAGTTCTTCCCCAGTAACTAACACTCAGAAGAAAAAAATTGCACATTACTTGTACCTCTTATGCTTCCCAAAGCTTGATTTTGCACTTTTCTAGGGCAGAGACAAAATAACATTTAGTGGAGAGTCTAAAGACCAGAATACCAAGGCCTAGCCTCCTTAGGGTGCGAGTGGTAGTCCTTGGCAATCACCACAATGACCTGCTCTGGCTGCTCAGACCCTAAATGATTGCCAGATTGTGTGATCTCTCCTCTTGCAGATTTCATTTGGAGTCTTAAGCCTATACAAGGGTAGATTAGTCAACAACAGGTTGGTCAGGTCAGATTTCTGGTGCTCTTTTGCTGAGCAGGTCCCTCCTGTCTAGTATTCTCATCCCCAAATTTAAACTATTTATCCCTCAAACTGGGCTTCTCAGATGTTTTTTTCCTCTCATTTTAATTACAAATCTAAAAAGAAAAAATATTAATCAATTAAGTTTTTGTTTTTTTTTAAAGTAGGGTTTTATATGAACCAGACCAGCCTTAAACTCACTATGTAGTTGAGAATGATCTTGAACTTTTAATTCTCCTGCTTCCACTTGCTAAGTGCAGAGATTATAGACATGTGCCATCACTTCTAGTTTATGTGACGCTGGAGTGGGACCCAGAGCTTTGCTCAGATTAGGCAAGCACTGTACCACCTGAGCTACAGCCCTAGCTGCTACAAGAGAATTAAAAGCCTGGAGTATGTTGCATTTAGAGGCTGTGGACTGGCAAAATGCTTAAGAGATGGACTCTTTCAGAAGCTGTGGCAAAAAGATATTGTAAAGTCAATTGTGGACATACTGATACACTAAAAGTACCAGGTCCTGTGCCAAATTCAGGGACATAAAGATGAGCAGGACAGGATTTCCCCTTGTGAGAATCTGTATCTCAGGGAGCACTGCAGAATCAAATTGATGACTTCTCATGCATACATCAAGTACCTCAGGGACCATCCCATCCCTAACTCAGGAATCCTGAATGCAGTGAGGAAAGTGAGGCCAAGCTGGAAACCCCTGCTGTGGCCTGCAATACACAGAGGGTCCAGGCTCAGACTGTCAGGACCTGGAGAGTATGAGTGGTCCCCTTACTTACCTGTAACTGTTAACTGTAACTTAATTTTTTTAGGGAATACAGGTACCATTTACTGAACCCTGACAATATGGAAGCATGATGCCAAGCACTGGATAAACATTTCTATGTCTTCTACAACAATCCTAGGAGCTTTGCTAGTATTTCTTTTACAAAGTAGAGGCCCAGAGAGGGAAAGAAATTAACTCAAGCTCCTTGCTTCCCTGTGGCCACCTCATTTCATTTCAAAGGCACCTTGCAATTTGCCATCTTCAGAAAGCCTACATCATATGGATGTTTCCTTGGTGGCATTATTGAACGGAGGCATTGTTCTACTACACACCAGGCCCCACTGTGCCACAGCTGTCTCGCCTGCTAGCCCTAGTCATGCTCACTTCCATGGCATGAGCACTCAGGTGTCAGAACTCACAAACTCATTACCCACCACATCATTTGGGAGGCTCTGGAGGTCATCAAAGGGGGTTTCCAGGGTGTTGGTGTCCACGTTCAGGATCACAACATCATCCAGGGCCATGTTTCTGACCTTCTACAAAGAAAAAAAAAAAATCCAGAAAAGGAAGTCACTGGAATGCCACCAAGAACACAAGCTGCTTCCCTTGGCCTTCTCCAGGGAAGAAGAATGGGAAAGAAAGTGCCACTGGGTAAAGGCTTACCCTGAGACAGCCCAATACTATATGGCTCACCTTTGTTGCTGATTTAACTCTCACAAAAATTCTCCAATTTGCATGGTCACCCCCACGTCCTAGGAGTAAAGTCCATTTCACAGAGGCTAGGTAACAAACCCTAGGTCATGCAGCTAGGGAGTAAGAGGCATGGCACCTAAAAATTTCCAGGTTCTTCCCAGCAGCAGGATAGAACCAGAGAACAGAATCCTAGAATTCTTCCTTGCCATGACCAGAGCCGCTAACTCCTGCTACTGACTTCTCCAGAGTACCGGTGCCACTCCACAAACTGATGAATCATCTACTAAGCACTTCCCATGGGTGGAGAACCAGAGGACTGACAAGACTATTTACTAAGTTTCTTTTCCCCTCCAAACCCCAACGCTCCTATTAACTGCAGCTTTATTTTCAGGGTGAACAGCTACCATCAAATGAGGAGTTAATAATAAAGCCACCAAGTGCCGCACAGCACTGTGTCTTACAAACCTTCAAGTGCAGAGAATACTCGGGCTCACAGTGGACCGCCAGGACCCCTTAGCTACCCTGCTTAACCCCAAGGTATTTCTTCAAGGGTACTACAAGGAAGTTACAAGAAGGGCGCCAACCACCATATCGTCCACAATAGTCACACACACTTCAGAGCTCACAGCCATCTGCCCCACTGGTGTGACAGAGAGAGCTGGAGATGTGATGTCAACACCCCATTTTCAGGGATGAGAAATGGAAGCTCTAGGAAGTGACAAAGCTTGCTCAAGGTGGCTTCCTCATCTGTGAAACTGGAATAGGTGGCTTACCACCTCCAAATCTCTTTGGGCTGCTATGAAGATTGGAGGTTCTGTATGCACAATGCTGGGCATACAGTAGCTCTCCATACACAGTGGCTATGGCTGTTACTTTTTACTATATGCTGTCAGGAGCTGCAATGGCAGCAGCCTGTTGGTGGCAACAGCTTGGCTCTCATTTCAAAGGCTGAGGACAGTCACAGGAGGCGGAATCAGAGTGGCAGAGAGGGTGCCAGGCTTCAAGTACCAAGCTGAGGGCCCCTGCACACTAGCACCTCTTGCTTTGCCTCAGCTGAGCCTCCCAATAGCCTGAAACAGAAAGGGCAGGAGGCAACGGCCACTGGAGAGCAGTCTCAGGGCTGAAAGGCCCTGCAAGTGGGTGTTGAGTGTGGACCAGAATCGAGCCTTGTTTCTATGTTCCCAGAGTGGCCTGAGCAGCACAGACTAGCCCTTGTGGTCTCTCAGAGCTGAGCTGGAACAGGCTTTTGATTTCCTTCCACTCCTGGCTGGAGGACTTGCTGGTTAAGCTGTGTGGAGTGTTTACTTTTTCAACAATGGCAGCAGGCTGAAGAAGAGGAAAAACCCTGGCCCCTTTTCCTGATTTAGCAGGCCAGGGTCCCTTCAGTAACCAAAATGTCCCCAGCACTGGGCTCCAGGCAGGAGCTAGGTCGGCACAGTTTCCTCTCCTGGGATAATGCTGCCCTGCCGGTGGCAAGGCCTCTTCTAAAGGGGCTGGCATGGGCTCAAGGGGCTTCCTGAAGCTCAGAGTTCCCAAGGAAAGAACACTGGTGGTTTGGCCAGAGGGTGCTCCCCCCCCCAAAAGTCTCAAGGAAACAAGAAGGCAAGAAAACACTCCAATAGAGGCTGTAGGGCAGAGATGCTGGTGGAGAAGGATGGTGGAGAAGCATGGGTATGGAGAAGAGCCCAGCATCTTCACTGCAAAGAGGGAGGCTCAGTGAGGCAAGCAAACTGCACAGTGGCAGACCCGGCTGTGAGGTGGAATCTGAAGAGATCCCCAGATCCATGTGCTCAGGATTCATACTGAGTACCAATGCAGGGTGGGTAGCGGTAACTGACACTCTCAGGGTCTGCTTTCTTTTGTGAAGAATGACAGGGGCAGGTAGTTGTAACTGACACTCACGGGACCTATTTTCTCTTGTGAAAAATTACACTTGCCCTTTGCAGCATAAAATTACATATGCCTACTGTACAAAAAATAGAAAGACAGGAGAGCTCAAAGATTGCTGTTTGGAGCCACAATTTAGGGGCACTCCCTTTACATTTCTCCCTCCCTACTTTTAAAACCACAGCTCTAAATCCTTCTTCATGTTCCCTCTCTTGATTTCCTCATTGATCACAACATAAGCAAAGCTCTACTTCATTAAAAGTTATGCTGGTTACTAATGTTCCAGAGTGTTTTGATACATCAAGGCCCTTTGGCTGAATGGTATTTCCAGTGCTTAAGAAGTGAATACATATGATGTGGTCATGGAATCTGAAGGCGTAAAGCTTTTTGCTTTGGGATGGGTTCCTAGAAGTGGAATTTAGTTTCTACTTCTTAAAAAGTGTCCCTCTCAAATTCGACTTTGTGAGAGATATCTTTACTTCCAATTATTTTAAAGTCATTTTATCCACAGCTTGTGTTTCCTACTCTAAGTGAAGAAAAATCAGCAAAGACACGAGCAGATGTCAAAATAGTCCTCCAAAAATCCTACCCAATTAAAACACTTACGAGTACCGCAGCACACCGAGACAGCTCTCCGGTAGCTTGTCCCACCAACACATTCCCTCTCTTTTTAGTTACAGCATATGCCAAAGCTCCTGCCAGCTGCAAACCCTTCCCCCACCAGACTCCATAGGCTTCTCCTCAGAACGGGAAGAAGAAAAAAGAAAACAACACTGACATACACACTGGCTTTCCAAATGGCATTTCTTACACAGAAACATAAAAATGGCATCGTCCCCATCAATATTGTTCATTAAGAAGTCTTTCCCTGTGTGCTGTCAGTCTTAGCTTGACCCTACCTTTGGGGCCAGGGAAGGGAACAATGTTAAGAATGTGAGATGTTCAGGGGAAGCTAATAGGGCACTATATGAGTCACCTTTAGCTTACCAGACCAAGTGGGAAGCCTTAAACACTATGCTGGATGTTACAAATCCTCTAGGCTCCCAGCTAGGAACTAGGGACAAGGCTGTACCAGCCTCATCCTGTGATGTTTAGAGATGCTAACATGTGGAAAGCAGTTTTAGCATGGTTTTCAGAACTTGGTGGCTCTGAGCCCAGGCCACTCTGAAGGCCTGCTGCACAGCATGCTTCCCACAACCCTCCCTTCACATAATTGGAGCAATGTGTTGAACTAAACTTACTTACACAGGTATCTGATTTCTTGTCTTATCTCTAGGCTTTGAATGAATGAATGAATGAATGAATGAATGAATATAGAGGCAGCAAAACTCAGAAGTGAGAAGCACAAACTCCAAAGCTAGTCTGAGTTCTACCCAACCACTTTGAGCAGCCATACCAACTTGGGCAAGTCAATCTTTCAGTGCCTCAGTTTCCTTCCTCCTTAGGTTCAGATAACAGAACCTATCTTACAAGCTTGCTATGAGCCTTAAATGGGCTAGCTTTTTAAGGTATTTAAAGCACTTGACACACAGGAGGTGCAAGTAAGTGTTTGTTAAATAAACACTAATGATCTTTCGAGGGTAATAAGTATATTCTACATCTTCATGATGGTGGTGGTTTCATGGGTAACTAAAACTGTCAAAATTTGTTGAATCATCCATGTTAAATGGATGGTTTGTTGTACATGAACTGCATTGCAATGAAGCTGAAAAACACACTGGAACTATGTCCACAAGACAGAATAAACTCACTAGAGACCTGGAAAGGCAGCAGTGCATGTATGATGGTGAATGAGTCCTCAGGACGAGGGAGCTTTTCCCAGGGTTATTCTACCAATGTTTGGCTCCCTGTGCCCTTCATGTCAGCCTAAGATCTTTGAAAACTTTCTTTTGTGTCATGTGCCCTGTTATAATAAGCATAAACTCTGAATGCCCTTGGACTTTTGAAATGCTTCCCTACATAAGAAGGGGTCTCTATGAGAGTCACTCTACCACTGATGTCCCCTGTAGCCAGGATTTCATACAGCTTTGCTCTCTAAAGTGGGATGCACAAAAATAACATCTACTATACTCATTCAAACCATATCAGCCCTGCCCCCTCCACAGAGGGTGGCTGCTATCCAGGAAGGGGATATCCAGGAAGGCAGCTAGTGATAAAAGGCAGGACTCACAGTCAGATCATACAATGAAGAAGAAGCATTGGCACTGGCAGGGATGTGGGTGCTGGGAGCATGTGGTGCTGGCAGCTGTGAAGACAACTGACTGCATGTTGAGGGGCAGGCCTACCTCCACCTCAGCCTCTTCCTGCACACTGTGCCACTGAGGACTGGAGGTGTTGGTGGGGGGGTCACTGAGGTGAATCTTTTGTTGTTGTTGTTGTGGATGTATACCAGGACCACCTTTGGGACAGAGCCATGCCTCACTTGCCTGCAAAGTGCCCAGCATAGATCTAGTCTAACTTAGGCACATGTTCCTTGGCTGGGGAGCGTGGAAGGGCTATGATTGGCTCCACTCTACTAGGAGGCCAGCCTCATGGCAGATGTCACTGTGAACCCATATGGACCATGCAAGTCCACTGTAAGCAAACTGGAGTCTGGTCCAGGAAGAGTGATGGGAATAGCAATGATGATGGCAATGACGAGACCCATACAAAATTACCATGATTAATTAGCAGGATGACTTCACAGTGGACAGGGAAGATAGGCATTAACTCAGGATGAAGACAGTGGGTTCTGGAACGAGACTACCTCATCCAAGCCTTGCTTGAGTTGTCTCACACACTGACTTCTGATAAGCTTTTTTGAGCCTGTTTTCTTATCTACAAAGTGTGTGTGTGTGTGTGTGTGTGTGTGTGTGTGTGTGTAAGCAAAACTTCACCCAGCTGTGCTGTTAAGATACTAAACTATGTGTGAACAATCTAGCACAATGCTGGGCATGGTGATGCATGACTTTTAATC